CCCGTCGGCCCAAAATCGCCCCCTGGGGTGGGTAGGCAATTTGTCCGACAAAACCCCTGAAAGTAGGCAACCCACAGCAAATCGCCCCCTCCGTCAGACGGACTTAAAACCGCGCCTGTTCTGATAGATTATTTACCCTGACCTTATTTACACTCAATGTTTTCACCTGTCCGTCACTACGAGGCGAAAGCGCCAGGGAGGGTACGCTCTTTAATGGATCTTTCTATTCATGTCTAGCAATTAGCTCCTCACAAACGTGGGAAGGAGATTTGCGAGAATCGTATCGCATTTCCCTTTACTCTTCGGACTTTTCCGTCCAGCATAGCGCATGGCAAATTTCCCAACTTATAGAAATTTTTCCAAACATGTATAGTGGAAAGCACTGCCCATAAATGTATAAGAAATTTACATGACAAGTGTGGCATTTTCCCCATAGGTATAGGAATTTTGCTTTACAATGCTTATATGGGAAATTTCCTACACATCTATAGGAATTTTCACGTCCCATACAATGTATAGGATATTTCCTATACATGCATATAGTACAATTCCTAACGCCCTATGCCAATTTTAAACGAAACACAATAGCTACATAATATTGTGACGGCTTATGCACTTAACATGAAACTCCCCTTTAGCGGTACGTTATCCGTTAAAGTTATAACTTATAACTTGTGACCATACAATAAAACGTTAAGAGTTATAACTCATAAGTTGTGACCATACCATGAAACGTTAACATTAACGAGCATCAGAATAATTTTTGAGGACTCATTACTTTAACTTTTATTGCGAATTGTTCAACGTTACGTTATATACCTAACCCATAACGCTAATGGGTTACTCGTTAATTTATATAACTAACGCAAAACGCTAATGCGTTAAATTACGGACCTCTTATTCTAACCTAATCTAACCTCATTTGCAGTCATGGTTTACGCGCGAGGTGGACTAGCTGAACACCTCCAGTCCTGGCAAAATCACCTGTGTTCTACTAGAGGACGAAACCTTACGCTGCTATTCCTGCAAGTCATGCGAGAGAACTGGGTTAGTATAGAACGACAAAACCTATTTCGGATCATATTTTCGTATTTCCATCCTATACCTAAGTACATGGGGTTTAGAACAAATAAGTACAGACGGACTTAAAGGTTTTGACCCCTAACCGCGTTTTAACCTGAAATTGTATTACATCGAATCCACGTTTGAAACGTGTTCTCTCAGCCTTCAAGTAAAGATAGATACCCAGGTTGACGCGAATTCGTGCGAACATACCGAGTAATCTCAATTTGAGCAAACTGTAACATTCAGCCACATCCTAAACGACGAGAATAAATGATCAACTCGGCCGCGCGGGCCGCTCGGACCGTGCCACGACGACGCGATGGTATCTTTTTAAACGAACCCGTTTCTACCTGACACCGCGGCGCAGGGGGGGAAGCGGGAGATCGTTCAACACCACCTGTTGCATTTTGAGCCGCGTCTGGGTAACAGCCCAACAATGAACGCCTTGCTCTCGGTAGTCCGCTCTGCGCGTGCCGCCCTCGTGAAAAATAGTGTAAAATTATGCGTGATTTTCACGCTTCGTAAGCTTCACGCAACCAATCAGGAATCGAATTTTATCACGCAGGGAGTGAAAATCCGGCCTGGTGTGGTGTGAAAACTACGTGTCTTTAGGTTACGCGCCGCCCTCGCGAAAAATTGTGTGCAGTTATAAAATAAGAAGTCCATTATGGAAAAAGACACCATGCAAAAAGACACGTCAACAATTTAAAGAATGCTTTGCGAGCCTTTACAGTTCCTAAAACACCTAAAGCGACTAAATTTCCCCAACCATGGGTTCGTTTCACAGTTAACAAGAATTGTTAACGTTTTTGTAGAAAACGACCTTTTTCACAACAAAAAAATAAAACTGATACATCTTCGCAAGGGAGCGAGTGTAAGGGAGGGTGGGGCAGTGTGTAACAGATTTTGGAAGTTGGCTCTAAAAGTCAAACCATGAAAAAAAATTGGGTAAATCGGGTGCAAAAGAATAGATTGGACCTTTACCATGAGAGAAGGGCTCAAGGGGTGCCTCACTTCGAAAATGGGCGTACACTGACTAAAGTCGTGGAACGGAGTGGCTCGCTAGCGCTACAGATCGCAAGCGCTACAGCGGTGGGCGCTACGGGTCGCAAGCGCTACGGCTGACAAGCGCTACAGCTCACGACCGCTACGGGTCGCAAGCGCTACGGCTCACAAGCGCTACAGCTCACGACCGCTACGGGTCGCAAGCGCTACGGCTCACAAGCGCTACAGCTCACAACCGCTACGGCTCACAAGCGCTACGGCGGGAAACCGAGTGATAGGCGGAACTGACTGTAGACAGGGCCGCGAGCGAGATCAAGCCGCCGATCTCACTGTGTTTGAGAAATAAGCAATGCGCTGCTCCTTCGGCAAGCCTCGTCGTGGAAGCGGTATCATGTGTAACAGTTTTACAACAATCGGTGATTTCTTTGCCGTACCTAATAGTAAATAGGCTATAAGACAAACATATAAATTAATTATGTTGTTTGTAGGGAATTTGTAATACTTGACTCTGAAAAATTGTAGTACCGGGTACAGAAACATTTTTAATGGTCGTACAATTACAATTGAAAATTGTAAATTTACAAGCACTGCGCATCGACTTGGAATAGAACAACCAGCAAGAACGGGAGGTTCAGCATGTACGACACGTTTTAAACATGGTAAATTACAAAACCAAATAAGAAATGCAATATCGTACTGACGTCAAAATCTTATTTCATCGATTTGGGGCCCAAAATGCCGTTGATTCGACGTCATTTTGGTCCGCAATGAATCCTATGTCAACGTCGATTCGACGTCGGTTCAAAATTCAGAGTGTGGACCAAACATTGTGCTGCAAGAGGCCTTCACAAAGTTCAGCGTAATTTTATTTCCCTTTAATCGTTGCTAAATATTTTCTGTCTAATCTGGATATGAACTAACACCTTCCATTCCTACGAACAAAATTGGCCCTTTACATTTAAAATGCAGACGAGGGAGTAGTTTTCCCCGGTGAACCGCGACATAACGAACACAGCTTCGACAGGAAGGGTGGGGATGTACTTTGATAGCAAGGAGTGGTGGGTGTCATCGTCCACGCCAAAAACGCGACAGCATAAATTGTTTTGAGTTGAAACGGGGTTCAAAACTGGCTACATTATCAGGAGGTAGCGGACGGCACCTACGCCACTTGGTCTAGATTTTACTGATATAGAATACGTTAAAAAAAAAAATCACCGAGTGTCATACATGATACCGCTTCCACGACTAGGCTCCCCAAAGGAGCAGCGCATTGCTTATTTCTCAAACACAGTGAGATCGGCGGCTTGATCTCGCTCGCGGCCCTGTCTACAGTCAGTTCCGCCTATCACTCGGATTCCCGCCGTAGCGCTTGTGAGCCGTAGCGCTTGTGAGCCGTAGCGGTCGTGAGCTGTAGCGCTTGTGAGCCGTAGCGCTTGCGATCTGTAGCGCTTGTGACCTACGTCGGGTGATCGGAAATGATTGGACGTGACTGGAAATGACTAGAAATTGACTGGAAATTGACAAATTAGTGACTAGAGTCCTAGTAAGTTGCTTTACATTAATTTTTACTAACCGCGTGTAACGGATGTCAGTCTGGGGAAGGCCCAGAAGGCTCCGATCGCTCTAGCCGCCTGTAGCAGCGTAGCAGAGCTGCCCCACTCCAACCCCTCCCTTTTCCCTGTGCTTTCTGCTGAAAATGCTTTGAAGACTTTATTACAAGTTCAGAGTATTGTCACGCGATGTCTCGCCCATTTCCAGTAGGACCCACAAGTTAAAGCCCGAGGAGTTAAAGCGGCAGTGCATAATATCTTTCTTTTCGGTGAGTTATTACTTTAAGATATCATCGTAACCTAGCCTGGTCAGCCTCAGCCCCAGATCGCTCTCTCAATTCTTTCTCGAGTTATCGTGCGTACAGACGGACAAACAAACAAACAAACGGACAGAATGAAACTTTTCCGGTCAGTGGAGTTATGGGCTTCGCTAGTCGCTCAGCCAAAAATTAACAGGCCGGCCCGCCCTTCCACCTAACGAAGTTGCCAGCTCCTCTTCGCTCCGCCGGCAACTCCGTTCGGCAGGGGCCTGCTTGGCCTGCCGGCAGCGTTTGTCGGGCCAACGGCCCGACCCTTAAGTCACTATTTACTGTATACTGTGGCGCATGAGGTATTTTACAGCTGTGAGATTTCAAAAACGTAAACTGCGAAACG